GGCCGATGCGTATCGTTGCTATTGGTCGTTCTTGTGAGCATTAGCGTAATCATAGATGCCCCGGATCATAGATAGGGGAACGAGTTCATTAGGCTAGCCGCTTCTATCTCGAAGTAGAGGCAGTTTTCGCTAATACATTAACGATCCGGTCGCGCTCTGCCGTATCTTTAATGAGAGTATTACCCGATGCGATAGTGCTATAGTAGATCTCGGGATCTATCGTATTGCGAGTATCTCGTAGGACCTCGCTAGTTTTATCGTAATCCTGATAGTTCGACCTAGATATATAGGCGTAGTAAGCCTAGAATAGCCGGTCGTTATCGGAGCCTTAATGAATATAGCTAGGGCTTTTCTTAGACTTCTCGGCTATCTTAGGGTTCTCCTCTAGTATGCATTATAGATAGTAAGGAGCCTTGAAGTCCTTACGCTCGTGATTAGCCTGAATACGGCTAAACGCGTTAAGTAGAACTATCGGAGGCCGTCCTAGGAAGCCTTTGCGTTCGCGCTTACCGCTAGCCTCTGCCTTGAACAGGTCGTACTGGCACACCCCGCCTATCGTCCTATCCGGCTGGCTAACTATAATGTCGCCTAGGCGGATGTCTTGGTCCTTACTGGGTCGAGCGATGCCACCGCCGATTCCAACTAAAAGGCTAATACGGATCGACGGTAGAGAGGCAAGAAGGCTCGAGGCAGTCGTCGCCGCTGACGAAGTCCCGTACACCCTAGCTGTGAGTGAGGCGATCACAACGTTATGCTGTCCCAGCCGACCCTATGAATAAACGTTCGCGTCGGACTCGTGTCTAGCGATATAGTCGGAGGCTCATGATCTTGGTCGAGCATGGCCTCTGCGGCCGCCCGTTCGATAGGCAGGGCAGAAATCCAGGCGATCGTGTAGGAGTCGGTGCTATCGAGAGCCTTCAAGGATGTCATCGTGAGGGAGCCTTGTGAGGCGATTATTACTGTTTAGATATGGTGTTCGTGCGGCTTGTTGAGAAGCAGCGAAGAAATCGGTGGAGTCTGGACAAGTCAGAGTCAGAAACAGGAGTGTAGTGTGCCCTATTAGAAAAGCACGGGCGTCTCGAAGTCTCGGGAGGGGGGGGGGGGGGGGGGCCATATGGGGGAAAAAAAACAGGGGCTTAATAGGGGGGGGGGGAAGGGGGGGTCTTTCTTTAGGGAGAGGGGGCGGGCCCCCCCACAGGCGCCCGGTGCGGGGGATGGGGCTAATTTCACGGGGGGTGGAAAAGAGGGACAAAAGGGGGCCGAAAGGGGCTTGAAAAAAGGGCTTTCCCTGGGGGGGTTGGGGGACCCTAAAACCCC